GTCAGATTAATCAATCAGGTAACTAAGAAATAAGTGAGAAGGGCATTTTTGCTGGAAATGAAAGTAGAGTTTCAGCAAAGATTAAGGAGATCTACACTAGGCATTTTAATTGTACTGTCTGGCTCACTGATGTGTCACATGATGCTTACGTCAAACCATCTTCTTCATGCTATTCCTACCATTACATTCCAGTTATATCGCAAACATTTTTGTATGCTGCATTTTTCTGAGATACCTACTCTAGTATGTGCTCAAGCTGTGGCAGTCTTTTCAAGGAAGGAGCAATGGCTGCAGTGGCTGGTGGGGAGCCCCAAGCAGAAGAGTCTGATCAAGCTTTGGCAAAGCTGCAGAGACTCCGAGGAAATAACCCTGGTTATCTTCCTTGCTGATCCCCCTGCTTCTCCCTCCCTCCCTCTGTGTGTGTGTGTGTGACTTGCCCAGTATATTGGGCAGTAAATGCACTGCTGCTCCCCATCCCCTCCCTTCCCCTGTAAGCAACAACTATCTCAAAAATCTGTTCTATTCCTGGATACCAAGAAGGAAGTCATATTTTCAATGGCACTTACTTAGAAGGGAATCATATTGTCTTCCATAGCACTTGTATGGATATCTATTAAAAGTAAATCACATTATCATCAGCAGTTCATCAATTCATCACCAAAAATAGATCACATTGTCTTCAGTGGTGGTTACTGCTGGGAAGGTCAGCAGAGGAAAGGGTCTGTGCTTGATTCTGAGAATTGCTTTTGGCTTGAGGGGTTCTAGATCTCACTGGCTTCTTTCCATGAGAAGTGGAAGAACAGCATCAAGTGGCACTGAGTCTCACCCTCTTCTCCCCCATCCCATTCTTTTGGTGAGGATGCTGGAGGAACTGCCCCTCACACCCCGCTTTCAAAGTATCCACTTGTCCTCTCCTTTGCTTTGGACATAGCTTAATGGATGGAAGAAAAAAGGATGACTTATCTGTACACATCCCTTTCTAGCTCCCCCTTCTTTTCCTGAAAATATGAGTGTTATGCAAAGAATTGTGTATATATGCTCCAGTGAGATATGTATGTTTAATAGCGAATGCATGTGTTCTGTGATCACTGCAACTCATTCATGAAAGCCAAAGTTCAAAGCTTGTAGGTTCTTCTAGTCCTGGCCATCCTGCTGTTTGTAGAGGAACTGCTAATGGGGATCTTTTATCAGCTTAGGATGATTCACCACCTACAGCATTAGATGAAGCAGAGCCTGGATGGTTACATCCAGGCTCGATTATTATTGTAGTGAACTTGCCTTTTTAGTTTGCCATAGTAGGGAGTGGCTGAATCAGTTCTTGGACACCATGCCTTACATTTCCTGTTCAGCCTTACCTAATGGAACTACCTTGACACACAGCACAAGAGTATGAATTCTTGTGAGGTATTGTGCGACAATCGTGGTGCACATATCAATGTATCAGTTACATTGCCTGCCATTTTGTTTTCAGGCTCAGTTTAAAGTGTTGAAGGTGGTCGCCTACATCCATACAAACCAGAGAGTCTTAAGATTGGCTTTAGAGGATCTGCTTGTAGGTCTGTCATAAACATTTATTAGGTTTCTGGGTCCTGGACACATGAACTTTTCAGTGGTAGCCTAAAATGTTCTCCCTAGAGATTTATCTATGGACATTCAATATCCTTTTAATCAATGTCTATGCATTCTATATTGCTGAAGTTGTAATGCATATAGATAGATGCACAGAATGTATGGATATTTGCATAACACCAAGTTATTTCTGAGCTGTTGAAAGAAGATTCAGTGGGAAGCAGAAGGAATAGTAGTAGTGTCCATCTCCATGCTGTTCCCCAGTTTCTTTTGAAGTTAATCAATCTTTCCTTACTACTAAGAGGGAGAGAAGGAAACTGGTGGTAGGAAGAGCTTGAGGATGGAGATAAGTTCTGCTTCTGGACCTCATTCTTATGTACAGTTCCTGAGAATGTCCAGAAGAATAATTTTCTGCTGAGAGGCACGGGGTCTGTGTTTCCTTTGCCTACCGAAATGAATTTGCCTCAGTGATGATCAGAGTATAGAAGCTGACATTGCATCAACTATGTGTCAGATAATATGGAAAGATGCCTCATTCAGGGCAGACTTTTTGTCTGTCTGACTCTTTACTGTCTGAGTGGCAGCAGCTCTCTGAATTGCCTTGAAGTGATCTTTCTGGTACCTGATTTTCTGAATGGAGATATCAAGGCCTGAACAAGGGCTCTTCTGAATGCCAAACTTGTGATCCATTTCACACAAGAATCTGTCCAAAGTTTTCAACATATACCAAAAAGACAATTCAGAGGGCTTACTACCCTCTTCATACCCCCACATATTTAAACCATAAAGTTCACTTACACAGATCTAGTGATGGCCACAAATTAAAAATGGGACTGGCCAAATTCATGGATAATATAACTTCTGTATTGGATAAAGTGGTGATTCATGTTGTGAGTCATCCAGAAATGCATAGTGATTGGAGGGGCTAGAAATATCCCAAATACAGAGAGAGAGAGAGAGAGAGAGAGAGAGAGAGAGAGAGAGAGAGAGAGAAGGCTATCAATGGCTAATAGTTTGTATATGTTACCTCCAGTAACAGAGGAAGTATGCTTATGTACACCAATAAATGGAAGAAATGGATGGGAAGGTGCTGCTGCATTCAAATCCTGCTTGTGGGTTTCCTATGGGTATGTGCAAATGTAATGCTGAATTAGCTGGACCCTTGGCCTGAACCAACACGGTGGTTCTCATGTTCTTACCCATTGGTAATGTAAATAATCTCCACCACAATGTCATAACATAACTGCAAAAATTATCTGGTCTTCTCTGTTCCTATAAAAGATTAAATTATATTGACATGCACATGGTGGCATGTCGTGAGCGGAGCCGGCTGGTGCCGGAGGTCAGACTAGATGGCCCGGGAGACCCCTTCTGACTCGCTCTTTTTCTATGTTTCTATGAATTTATACCTCAGTTTCAATGTTGACTGCTGCTTTATGTTAAGTCAATCAAAAGGCATTATCTGTTTTTCCAAAGTACTGCACGGTTGAATGATTTTTAACAGACTTGTTTTCTCTTGATATTTCAGACATTTGGAATTGCAAGTAATGATTGCCACCCTCCTTTATAAGCAAGTAGATTCTAAGGAGGCCTGAGCAATTGATATCTGATTTATTTTGACATGTGGACTTTCAGAGTATGGTTACTTTGTGTACCAAAGCAAAAACATCAAATGTAGATACCACAGAATGGAATAAGCCATATCTTGTGAGACAGAAGGATGCTTTCAAGTATTCCGTCATACAATACTTGTCATAGGTGTCATTCTCTCCCTCTCTCTCTCTCTCTCTCTCTCTCTCTCTCTCTCTCTCTCTCTCTCTCAGAAGTTTCTGTAAAGAGAAACAAGATATTTGCTTAAGAGCTCATCATTGCCTGCTGCTTATTCATCACTTGAAGTCATTATCCTCTGACACTCCACAAGTATTCCTAAAGCAGACTGCTGTGATATGTCAAATAGAAGATATTAGGTCAGAAATAAGCATCAGATGTACACTAAAATTTTGTTTTGATGAGCTGTCCCTAGTAATAAGATGAAGAAGAGATGAAGTGAAATCTTGGCATATGTGACACATTTCAGAGCCAAGCAATTTTTTTAAAAAAGTAATGTTTAAAGGGTTTTCAAGCCTACTTTGAACTGTTATAATATTTGGCACACAATTAATTTAGTAGTAGTGCTAGATTTACTTCATATCTACTGAGAAATGGCACTGGGTACCCCATTTTTTACATAGTAGCTTGTCCTTTGCCCTAGCCTTGTTAGGTGCACAGAAAGCTGCTTTCTATAAGATCAGAGCATTGGTCCAGCTAGTTCAGCACTGTCAAGAGTGCAGTGGCAGCTCATCAGGGTTTCAGGCAAGACACCTTCCTAATCCTCCCTAGAAATAATATCCCTATATTTATGTCAGGACCAGACACAAGTGATACATTGTCTTGGTTTTGTATTTCCTTTGAACAGCAACCAGCAAGAACCGCTATATTGGATAAAGTGGCATTTCAGCTTAAAAAATATCTCTCTTCTGCTCTCCAGGAGTGTCTCGAGCACTACTTTTGCAAATACTACAAATACTACACGTGTGTGTGTGTGTGTGTGCGCGCGCACGTGCGCACGCACTTGTGTCTTCCCCCATGATCTTATGTTTGATTTAAAGTAATACTGGCTTGGATCCAGACTGAGTGAGGCTCCAGGAGATCCACTGAATTGAATGAGATGTAATGAACTTCAGTTCTGTTGGTTTCAGTCAGTGTGCTGCAAACACAGCTGAATCCACCTTGTTGTAGTTAGTAATTGTTTCTCTGCTGCAAATATTGAGAGGCAGAATATCACAGGTGTAAAAATATTTCTGTTACAGGTTGTATGAAGTGAAGTGGCATGAGCCACTATAGCAAATCCATCACACACAACATGATATCAAAGCAGAAGGCTCCTGTGTATCAACTTCTGTCCTTGTTCATCTAACTCAATAATATATGTTCTGACTGGCTGTGGTACTCCAGGCTCTGATGCAAGACATCCTTCCAATAACCTCCAACAACTCTTACCTGATTTGTTTTTTTTTATTTGGCTATTTTGGGTACTGACCTAATGGCTAAACGCACATCAATACATATATGACATCATGTTGTACTTACAATTAGTGCATTGCTCATTCTGCTAGAAAGAGGTGCAGTTTAGGCAACTTTAGGGGGGAAAAAAGATGGGGGATATGGGAATCTCAATGAACTTGGATGAAACTGAATTTCTTACTTGAAGTTGGTACATTTATTTCCAGTAATAGTGCAAATGTTGTCATTTCTTATGGTACAAGCGAGATAATTTCCTTTGTTTTTGAGTCATGCAGAAGCATAACTGTTTCAAAATGACTTATTTGTATGTATATGTTTTTATACACACACACACACACACACATTTATCTTCCTTTTTTAAATTCTAGGATGAAGTTTGTCCAAAAGTGGAAGGGGATGAAGTCCAGCGATGTGTCTGGGCATCTGCTGCAAATGTAAAAGACAAGTTCATATATGTAACTCAGCCCATGTTGGACAGAGTGCTGATTGTGGATGTACAATCACAGAAGGTTGTACAGGTAAGTGCTCTTAATGAAGGGACCTTTCCCTCTCTTTCACTTATTTGTGAATAGAAAATGATATGCTAAAAGACAGCAATTCAGTCTTTCTCTGAATATATCACAAGTGAAGAAGAATACCTTTGTTTAAAGCATGAGCTGATTTAAAACTGGGTCCAAAATGGCATGGTACTTCTAGCTTTTAGGACTATTGGCAAAGCCAGCAAGAAATTTCAACCTCGTATTTATATACTGAAGAACACAGGAGTTCTGATCGGGTATTTGAGTGGCTTGCATGAAGGCTAACACTGAAACAAGATGTGCCTGTGCATGCAGACCCCATTCCCAGTAGCTCCATCATCTTAGTCCCCATTGTTTCCATATTTAGAAAGGTATGAAGAGGATTCCACTCATACTCTCATGAAAGGGAATAGAAGTCTCCATGTCATTGGAAAAGATAGTGCAAGTATGTAATTTTAGACCCTGGTTGCAGTTATTTTTTGGCAGTCTCCTGTAGTTGGCCATGTGTGTTACTGCAGTTGTTAAGCACACAGTTAACTTCTATCTTTCCATTCCTACAAATGTCATCCCATGCCCTGGCTTCACCACTGATTGGAACTGGGGAAAGGTATGGCCCATTATCAATATGGGCATGTTGAACATTCATAATTGTAGAAGCCCAATTGTCACACTTGGCTTTAAATTCCTGCATTTGCTATGGATAAGGAATATAAGTACCTGTATTCTTTTTCTGTGTATGAGTATGTGTGTTCTGATGTGTATGAGTGAATGAGCATGCTTGTACTTATTCTATGATTCTATATGGGCATATACATACATATCATAGCAAACAAGTTTAGGGCCTTCCATCTATTGACTATGAAGATCTGTTTAAAGTTTCAGAGGCTTTTTATCTATGAAAAAGGTCAACCAATCAAAAACATTCTGACAGAAATGTTCACCATTCTCTGGAGAGCAAAATCATGTCCATGCTATGTTTCAGAACAAAAAGAACGACCTTAGACTTCATTTAGGGAACAAGAAATTTGCACTTTCTAAAATATAAATGTAACTTTTCTGCAAGCAGCTGTTCTTCTGCTTCATGAATAGGCATTATACAGTTGCTAAAAATTCTGCTGTCGTCTTCATAAAAAGAAATGAAATTTGAAACAGATAGAAAGTGTCAGGCACTGCTGCTATTAAAATTTTAATCCTTGCCAATATTCCCAGTGCTCCAAACTTTATAACTTCACAGACACTAACACAGAGAAAATGCTTGTACACTAATATACATAGGATTTTTAATAAGCTTTTATATGACAAGTTGGAATTAAGATAACTTGGATTTATTATTAAGAAATCCTAGAAACTAGTCATCATCATATTCAATAAAACACAGAATAAGGTTCTGTATATTTCTGAGATATAGAAATGAAGTTTTTGAAGGAATAGGAGTCTGTCTAGTTCAGTTGCATTTATTGGAATATAAAGTCTTCTGTAATAACTGACTTTCTCTTATTTATCACATATGTATCCTATGAAATTCAGAGAATTTGCAGCCCACAATACTCACCCCATATCTGAGGCAAGCCCAATATATGATTTGCAGTGATATTTCTGGGGGGGAAAAGTCTTTGCAGTCTGCAGACAGCATTCACAGCCTGTTCTCAAGTGGCAGAGAGGACTGGCCCTGTTATTATGCTTAGTGAGGCAGTTCCTCAAGCAGAAGATGCTAATGACTCTGTTCCCTTCCACACTTGTTCTGTGTCTCCCATTTACCTGTACTAGAGGACAGTTTGGTTCACCTGTCACCCAGGTTTCCCTGTATTCCATAATCTAAAAAGTGGGCCTTGGAAACAATGAAAAGCACTGTCCCATTACTACTTTTGAGATAAAAGCCAAGCATAATCAGTTCATATATGTGGAACAGAGATCATCTTTCACTCTGTTTCAGGCAACAAAGCTTCTTGAATCTACTGATATTCCTGGATACTAGTGCCCCCATTTTCCATATGCACAATTGTTGTTATGTGCTGTCAAGTTGTTCCTGACTTATTGTGATCCTATGTATGAAAGCTCTCCAAAATGCCCTATCCAGGGCAGCCTTGTTCAGCTCTTGTAAATTCAAGGTGATGACTTCCTTTATGGAGTTAATCCATGCACACAACTACCTTGGGTACTTACAATACAAGTGGTACAACCAAATTGGTTCTCAACAGAGAGGCCCAAGGTGTTGAAATCTCACAGTTTTGGTTTATCCAGCATAAAAGTCAAGTTGTATCCAAATATGAAAAATATTGTGAATTTTGGGAAATCCTTACCAAAACCAACTGGAACAAAATTCTCACTGTTTTGCACCAACCAAATTCAATAGATACAGGTATGCCCAGCATGAGGAGGAATGAGTTGTACCTGTTTACTACATAGCTGTTAAAGATGAAGAGCCTTAGAAATGAGATGTGGGCAACCTAATTTACCACTAGCTTGTTTGGATTCAGAGCTATTCAAACTGAGAATTTTAAAAGCATTCAAAGGCTTGGGCATGGAGGAATGAATCCATTCATTTTGATTTTGCCACATTTGTTCACTGACTCTCACACATATCTGCAAGGAAGAGAAAAAAGTCAGCCTGGCATATTAAGTACCTCACATCTTGTCCTCATAACTAAAGTCCTATAGGAAAAATGGAGAACTTACTTTGCCCGAGTGATAAAATGTTTTGTAGAAGTTTCTGGCAAAGGAAAAAAAATGACTAACCATGGAAGAAATATCAATTTGTCTCTGCCATTTTTCAGTTGAGTTTTCAGCACTGAAGTATAACTAATATGAAGTACTTTGGCAGTTTGAGTGAAAGAGTTGGCTCAGCATTTCTTGTAATATTATAGAAACAGCCCTGCTCTCATCATGTAATAATATGCTACGGTGTTCTTTTTGCAAGCCCTAGTACTTTTTTTTTCTTGGATTTAGAAATAAATCTTTAAATATGTATACCCTGTATATGAGGCATTTAGATTCTCATCTAGTCTAGTTTGATGAAAACTATTTATTTTTGCTTTCCACATCGCTAAGATGTTTTAGCGTAGGAAAGTACAAAAAGTCAAATATGTACATTATTCAGGAGGTGGACGTCTTTTGCTCTCTATTTACCAAAGGGAAAAAAATACATACCTGACTTGGAAATCAATTCTAGATGGTGCCATGAGAAGCGCTTTTGTCAAACTGTAATTGCATACATGGAAAAATGCCTTTCAGGGCACAGTCCTATACTTGTTCCATGCCAGCTGAGGGGTGGTGACAGCCTTCCTCAACCTGATGCCCTGCAGATACTGTGGACAACACTTTCTAGCATTCTTGACCATGCTTGTGGGAGCTGGAGCTGACAGGAGTTGAAGACCAAAGCAGCACCAGACTGTGGAACTCTAGGTGAAGGGATCTATTAGAACCTGCACTACATTGGAACATTTTATTCTTGTTATGATTTATCAGTGCCCCTGTAGCTATTTGTGCTAGAGTTCTATGCAATAAAAGCACACATAAAATCCCAACCCATTTTAATTAAAATGAAAGCAGGTGCCACCAAAAATGTACCAGATATGCTTGGAGAAGGCACTACTATTAGAGCTGTGTGACCGTTGAGGATATGGCTTCAGGAAAGTTGCGACAAATAAGACTGAAACAGGATCGTGTTGCAGGTGGAGGTGGGGGAAGTAATTTTTCCCCATTGCTAGATTTGGAACAGCAACTTTTTTGCATGTTTGCTTTGATTTTATCATTATTTATGATTAATAAATTTATTATTCATAATAATGTCTATACTGACCATTATTCTGTAGCATTCGTATTAATATCTGCCCTGCCCATTAGCTGAAGCCCTCTGCTTCTTGCTTTCCTGCATGTTGGGGCATGGTGATATAATGAGCACACTCTGGGTTGGTCTGCATGAGCTGGCCCCCTTTCTGCCCAGTAGGCTATGGGCACCATTGCCAGGGCAGCCTTGATGTGAACTGTGGTGGTGTTTCCAGGGCACCGGGGTGATGACTGCCAATTTACTGGTATTTTTTGTTTTTCCTTGCTGTTTTTCTGATCTAATCACATTCTGGATAGGCCAGGTCGGTGTAATGCCCTGATGTAATGTGGGCTCAGAGCTACTCTGCTCATATCACTTACTCAGCACTACCACCAACTTTTAAGTGGTGCTTTTTTCCATTTGGTTCATTACAGGAGTAAATTACCCAGACTGAAAATAGTGTAAACAAATGCTTGCACATAGCTATCAAATGGCAGCACAACTCTTGCCATGTACATAGGCAATAATCAAGACTGTCTCACACATGTCAGCCAGACACAGAGCTTCTGGTTTTGGAGAAAGTCTGCATTACTGCACAATAACTAATCCAAAATAAATGAAAAGAAAGAAGTGGTAGCCCGTAGGCAAAATGCAGACCACAGTGAGTTCAAATGAAGGGGGGAAAGAGGAACTTTCCATAGGACAGAAAAAAATAGTATGCCATTAATTTTGAGGGAAAACCATTGTGCCGTTTCGGTTTGCATTGCCTCAGTATTTCTTTTGATTCTTTTATTAAATGGCATTTTCAAACTTTTTTTTAGTCTTTGTTGTCTGATCCAATATGCAGTAAAGCACAAGTCAAAACCAACCTTCCTGTGTGCTTATGTGAATAACAACTTGTATTTAAGTACAAATGTTAAAGGCTTCTTTAAAACCTCTGCAGTAGCGCACATCAAGGGAGCCATCCTGTGGGCTGTTGACATTGCCTTGGAGGCCATAGCATGGTTCGATCCCCAGCTCTGAGGTCAGAGACATTGGCCTAACTTTGGAGTGAGAATTAAAGCTCTGGTCCCAGTTCCTCTCACAGCTGGTGTGGACAGAGCCATGCCAGCTGCTCCAAGGTGTGGGGACACAGCCTCAGAAAAGGGAAAAGGGGTACCTTGGGAGGTGACAGGGGAAGAAACTGAAGTTCCATGCCCATCTTCTTCAGTCCCTTTGACATATTGCTGCTGGA